TGATGCATCAGGCCCTGGAACACTCAGACAATGTAATACAATTGAGCTTTCAGATCTCGGAGACACAGAAGGATTTGATAAACCCGGTTACAATGGTAAGTTATACGCTTTACACTTACACGATAGTGTATACAAGCGGAAAGAAGTCACATTCACGGGTAATCTAGAAGATTTAAGCGATGTCGACGTTAGTAGACTCATTAAAAACACTTCGTACAATATTACTCGCAACGACGATAATAAATGGACTATGATCGAATCAAACATCGAGTGGCTACTGAATATCGTCATTACCCCACCTTATGTGATGATGGGTAAGGGACATAATTTAACTAAGATAATAAATAGTGGCATCATACTCGCAGCTTATATCCCATCAAAACGAAAAGGTGTGTTAGTTACCCCCCTGCCACAAATCCCAGGTCATATGTTATATAGTCGTCCGGCCTTAAAAAATGTTACTTTAAATTTGATTACTGAATTCGAAGATATCAAAGATAACTTGAGTGCAATACCTAATCTTTCTACGCTTATTATTGAAGTCTTGTTCGGAGATGTACCGGTAGATGCCTTCGAAATATTACCAGGTCTATCGATTAAATGGCTCAAGAAACACGAGCGTCAACGTTGAAGTATTATTCATATCGGAGCATCTCCCTTTGCAACCCTCGAAGGGGTTCAAATTATTAAAAGTGGTAGTATTTCTCTTTCTAAGATATTCTTGCCGTATAATATACATTTGATAAGATTGATGTATAGTCTCAAAACATTTAAGCAAGACCAATTAAAGACTATTATATGATCGTAATATACACTATGAGTTTATATCCAGCGCTCGATGAAGCATTTGAAAAGATGGAAACTGTTGATGGATTTCGATTACATCAAATAAGCGACATAAAACATCGAATAGAGAAGGATAGGGAGTTGAGACTTGGATTGTATAAAAAGTATCGCAGAGCCGTGAATGCTCTGGACGGAGTTGACACCGCTCTTGTAGTATCTGGCATGGGACTCGGTGTAGCGGGTATCGGTTTACTATCAACTATAATCGCCGCGCCTATCGTGCTTGGCATGGAAATAACCGCTGGAGACTGGCAGGAATAGCGATAAAATTCATTTCTCGTAGGTTGCAAAAGAAAGCATTAAAACACGATAGTATTCGGATACTCGACGAAGCAAAGTTGAACAGCATTGAGGATCATATTTCGACAGCAATGCCCTATAAGATATCCGAAGATGAGTTTCGTTTAGTGCTGTCAGAACTCACCAAATACAATGAATGAAGCAGGACCAGTGGTATTAGCGAAGACGAGAAAAAAAAGTTCATAGAACAGGGAAGGCAACAAGCGCATAGTTGCATAAATCGCATAGTCATTTTGGCATAAAAAATGCCACCTGTAGTAGCAGTATAGGTATATAAACCCGGCTCCAGTGGAAGTGAGCCAGAACCATCATTACCTATAAAAAATTTGTATCATAGACTCCAGGTGGTGGTGAGCTGGAGTCAATTTAACTTAATCTCATGACTATCATTGAATCGCATCATCATTTACGCATAAAAAATTCCCTCTGCAGTGGTAGTATAGGTAATAAATCTGGCTCCAGTGGAAGTGAGCCAGAACCATCATTACCTATACTACTCCTTACCTTTAATTTTCTGTATCATGTTCCATACCTTGGACATAATGTTGCCAAGATTGGGGTTTATTTTGTTCAAACGTACGCCTGGCTTTAGCCTTTTTCCGTGCCTTCCTAGCCTGTTTGCAGTCATTGTTAAATCATGGTTTACGGATGTGTGGATTTGTAGAGGACTTAGGAATACATTCATCAGCGATTTTGTTTAATTCATCAGAAAATAATTGTACAGGGTCAGCGTCAAGAAACAGATCAGGTGTTAATTTATTGGATGCAAGCATTTCAAATAAAGGCCAGTTGACCTTAGTAAAGTTCCATCTTGTTGAAGGAGGAACATGTGAAAGTAAGGTTTTAAAATGGTTGGGAAATGATCACTGCCACAGAGGTCTTCGTGGACGGACCTTTCAAATTCGTATAATAAATCAGAGTGAGTGAGTGATAAATCCAGAGCAGAGTAGGTACCTGTACTGGGATGTAGATATGTGTTTTGAACCATCATTATTGATACACAAGTCGTTGTTCGAAATGAAATCTTCCAAAAGTTTACCCTTTTTATTTGTCTGAACACTACCCCAGAGTGGATTGTGCCCATTTAAACCACCCATAATAATACAGGGCTTGGGGAGTTGATCATAAAGAGCTTGAAGTTCAGACTGTCGAAGGGAAGAAGATGGTGGAATATAGAATGAACACAAAGTAAAAACTATGTGTAAGGTTACACGGACGGCAACAGCTTGAATAGGAGTAGCAAGATGAACAGGGCTGTGGATAACGCCGTTTTTCATGAATATTGAAGAACCTCCAGTGGCTTTTGCACCTGGAGGTGAAAAGACATTGTTGGAGGTATAACCTCTTATATCGAATTTATCAGTGTCTTTGTAATAGTGAGTGAGTGAGTATGGTTTTACGCCGCTTTTAGCAATATTCCAGCCATATCACGGCGGGGGACACTAGAAATGGGCTTCACACATTGTACCCATGTCTGGAATCGAACGCGGGTCTTCGGCGTGACGAGCCAACGCTTTAACCACCAGGCTACCCGACCGCCCCTGTCTTTGTACTCTGTTTCTTGTAGACATATCGCCGATGGTTTGAAATCCTGAATTAAAAGTTGTAAATCATTATAATTATTTGCCAGTTCCATTGTATTAAATGTGATGATTGAGTTAGGGTGGCTCAATGGGTGATCTCTCACGTGAATGTGAGGAAGAAGAAGTCCTACCGCTACTGTCTGACGATGGAGTCACCTCCATGTCTAAAGCACTGAAGGAGTTGTGGAGAGATGCTTCTGAAGGAGACAGGGTACTGGTTGTCTGATTTCTGTTTAACCTTTTTCTTTGTTTGTTGGATAATTTTCGGTCAAAAACAACTGGTTCTTCAGGATGAGTCTGAGACTAAGTCTGAGTCTGCCTGAACACTATCGGGTGGTGATGCAGATTGACTGTCAGATATATTTGCGATAGACGCAGTTTCAACTGGCTGAAGAGAAGTGACCCATGTCAAATTGGTTTGACACTGAACAGATGAAGTGGTTTTAACAGGCTTTGCCACAGCAGCAGAGTAGTTTAGAGTTGAAGGGGATCTTGACTGATTGCCAAGCTTCCTAGCATCTGCAAAAGATATGTTTTTTTCACATTTTAGTTTCAGAATTTGTGTTTCCGTTTGATACATGGGGCAGGATCTGGAAGAGGCCATGTGTTCGCCTTCACAGTTGATACACTTTAAATCTAGACTACAGTCGGTACTGTGATGGTTGCCACCACAACGATTACAAATGATAGAGCGTGTACAAGTTTTCGAACCATGTCCAAACTTTTGACACTTATAGCATCGGAGTGGATTGGGGACATACACCTACACTCCGATGTTGACATAACCAGCTTTAATAGAGTTCGGAACCGTTGGACGGTCAAAGGTAAACAGATATGTATTCGTGTTATCAATATTTGATTTTTTATCCTTTCGTGTGAAACGCTTGATTGACAGTAGATGATAGTGTGGAAGTATCCCACTGCCCACGGGCAGTGCTTCTTTTGTCTGTCTATTGCCCATGAACAATGCTGTCAATTGTCCATGAACAATGCTGTCTATTGTCTATGAACAATGCTGTCTATTGTTGTTCTATTGTATCCATAAACAATGCTGTCAATACAGTCTATTGATCCAATGACTTCCGAATAAGGAAGTGTAGGAATCAATCATTCAAACATGCATATAGTGCAGAGATAATGCATTTGAAATCATTTAATCATGCATATAATGCACATCAACCATTTAATCATACAGATCAACCATCCAATCAATCAAATAAATATTGAATAAACTATAAGTAACGTTCAATTGGAGATATATGGTGTTATAGATCAGAAAGGGTAAGTGTAGTAATGACTTCCGTATAAGGAGTGTTACTATATGTCTTTGTTACACGAACACGTGTGGAATGTCGATGAAGACAGTTGAAGCAACCTCGTACTGGACAATGAGTGGTGTGAGATGCATCATTCCAATGACAATAGCTATAATAGTCTCTCAACTGAGCCGAGTGGGTCCCGACCCCTTCCCCTCACGTCTGTTAATACGAGGTGTGACATTTCTATGTTCTACGTTAATCCTATTCATGGAGCTCAAATATTATTTAAATAAATATGAAATTATTTCAAAGTGTTGAAATAATTAGGTATAGAAGGATTATTGGGGATATATTATTATTACCACACATCCTATGTTCTGAAGCGTCCGGGAACAATTGTCCGGGAACAAGTGTCCGGGAACAAGTCTCATGTTCCCGGACACAGTGGTTGACTCATTGGTACACAACAGCTTCTCGGAAAGCGTTAAAGTTGGCATGCAGCACGTGCTTCTTGCTGGATGAGCGCAAAATGCGCATGCTCTAGAAACAGTTTATTTCAGTTGTCTTCTGGCATTCATATGGACAAGGAGTAAATGGATATCTCTCTCTAAGTTAGCAAATAGTGAATTAGAATATTACAGAAATAGAATAGAATAGAATAGAAATAGTTGAGAGAGTTACCCATTTACATTGTTACCATACGGCAACTTCACTTTAAGTTTCAAATCCATTTCATTTGATCTTATCACATTTTCATTGTTCATTACATTATAAGGGGATTTCACGTTTAGTTGATTACAAGGGGATTTCACGTTTAGTTGATTGCAAGGTAAGTTCATGTTTAGTTTAGTTTAGTCTTCCACTGCGAACCATTGGTAGCAGAGCGTGGTTGCTCTGAATATGGGCTAGTTAGTTAGTTATAGTGACTGGTGTTGATAGTTTTTAGGGTCAACGTACGTCATTCAAAAATAGGATAGATTTTCAGGTGTAGTTTGATGCTTGGTTGTTCACAATGGCTGGCAAAGCAACAAGCATGTCTGATATAGCAAAGTCTGAAGGTGGGATAATAAATCCTGAAAAGGCTACAAGTATTAGTGATGTAGATAAGCTGGAGTTAAAAATAGCTCAGCTTAAGAAACAAAAGACGGCAGCAAAGTCTGCATTGACAAAGGCTCAGAATCAGATGCTGAGTTTGATAGACCAGGAGGATCTCCCCACAAGGAAAGCAGTGAGGGATGAGATAGATAAGGTGAGTTCACTTCAGGCTAAAGCTGTTGACTTATTGTATGTCCTGTCCAAGGCATACGACCAACATGGAGATTACGAGAATGCCAAGAAAACATGTAAGGAAATAGATGAAGTCTTAGAATATAGCGATGATGCAATACACAATGCAAGATTGCATTTGAGCAGCAGGTCAGATGATAGCTCGTCTTCTGGTATAAGGTCAGTAATGTCGAGGATATTTCGCCCAGTTAACATAAAGAAACACATGCCTGTGAAACTTAAAGTCGCAGAGCTTCAAGAAGAACAATGTGTTCCTTCTGTTCATCAGAATGTTGGTCATGGTTGAGTCAGTTGCACCAGAAATAGATATGAGTAGAATAAGAATAGAAATGGAAGCACCTGCTTCTCCTGAAATAGAACGGGGGAAATTACATGTGCAATATGACCGGATAGATAGCAACTATGACCACAAAATGAAATCTTTCATTGAAAGAAATAAGACATCGCATAGTGATAAAATTGGTGCTGATATGTGGAGCAAGATGAAACGGGTTTCAATTCCTGTGTTTCATGGCAACATTAAAGACTACGAGAGTTGGAAAGCTGCTTTCATGGCATGCGTGGACAGAGCTAATGCCACTAATGAGTATAAGCTGTTACAACTAAAGCAATATGTTGCAGGAGAGGCTTTTAATCTCATTTCAAGGCTAGGTCACACTGCTGCAGCTTATGATGTAGCTTTAGAACGGCTGGAGAGAAAGTATGGAGGTAAAAGAAGGCAGATTGCTTTAAAAATGGAGGAAGTTTATAACTTCAGACCCATTCGTCCTGGCAACGCCAAGGACTTAGAGAATTATGCCGAACTTTTAGACATTACTGTTGTCAGTCTTAGAGAAGCTGACAAAAATGAGGAATTGGGTGACGGGTGTCTGTACTCCCAATTGTTGAGGAAAATGACCGGGTCAATGATAACAAATTACCAAAGATGGCTGTTTGAACTACAACGTCAGGAATCGGTTGAGACATTAAGAGAATGGGTTCTAAAAGAATCCGAATTTCAAACCGTAGCATCTGAGGTGAAACTGGGTATCGTTGAAAGGCCCAATGATAGGGAACATAAGTCCAATCAAAAGTCAGGATCTTTCTTTGGCAGGAAACAGGTACAGATCTGTCACTTCTGTCACGAAAAGGGTCATCAGATAGTAAACTGTAAAAGCTTCAAAGCTTTAGATATCCAGAAACGATGGGTCAAAGCAAAAGAACTGAAGCTTTGCTTTCGGTGTTTAGGAATCCGTCATGTTGTGAAATTATGTTCCACAAATGTGCCATGTGGTATTGAGGGATGTCGGTCGACACACAATAGATTACTTCATGATAGTGATTGGGTAAACTCACGGACAAAGGACACTGTGAATACAAGCAACAAATCTGAAGAAGCTCGGAATGAGTACAAACAGACAACAATGTCTACCACGAGAAAGGAATATTCCTTTTCTTCGCTCAGGACAATTCCTGTTATACTGAAAAATGGAACTCGCAAAATACAGGTCAATGCTCTCCTGGATGACGCCAGCACACAAACCTATATCAATGAAGACGTAGCATCAGAGTTAGGTGTGCATGGTCAAAGCCAGACCGTATCTGTGAATGTTCTCAACAGCAAGCAGGAAACCTTTAATAGCATGGCTGTTGAAGTGGGATTAGAAAGTGTTGATGGATCGGTCAACATGAACATATCAGCATTGACTACAACAAAGGTCACAGGGATGATGAAAGTGATTGACTGGAACAAACATGCAAATGATTGGAGTCACTTGCGTAACATTGATTTTCCAAAATTGAGTTCTAGACCAATTGTGGACATATTGATTGGAATGGACTATTTGGAACTCCATTGTTCTCTCAAAGATGTTTGTGGTCATCCTGGTGATCCTATAGCAAGGCTAACACCATTGGGGTGGACGTGTGTTGGTAAAGTACACGAATCAGAAATACATACTGCACATGTGACTGGTTCATTCTTTGCTCATGATTCACACACAACAAGCAACGAAATAGAGCTTGAGTCATTAGTAAATAGGTTCTGGGAGGTTGAAACCATTTCAGGGTACACGCCCTTTATGACACGAGATGAGGAACTGGCGGTGGATGCTGTAAAAGAATCACTTACCTATGATTCAGAGAGGTACACGGTTGGTGTTCCATGGAAGGATAAGTCAAAGCTTCCTGAAAGTAATTATGATAGTGCTTTCAAACGTCTGAAACAAATTGAGAAAAGGTTATCCAAAGATGTTACAATTCAGACAGCATATGGAGACGTGATATCACAGTATCTGAAAAAAGGATACATCACAAAAGTTCCTGAAAAAGAAGTTAACAAAAAATGTTGGTACTTACCTCATTTTCCAGTGGTCCGGCCTGAACGAAATACAACGAAGGTAAGGATGGTTTTCGATGCATCAGCAAAAAGTGATGGGGTGTCCTTAAATGATGTTGTTCACCAAGGTCCGAAAATGCAGAATGATCTTGTTGAAATATTGCTAAGATTTAGAAAACATCCAATCGCAATCATATGCGACATTGCAGAAATGTACTTGCAAATAAAGATTACTGAAGCTGATCAACCGTACTTCAGATTTCTATGGAGATCAATGAACCTGGACGAAGAACCTGATGTATATGAATTTTCACGGGTAGTCTTCGGAATGAATTGTTCACCATTTCTGGCACAGTATATTACACAGGAACATGCTAAGGCATGCAAAAATCATCTTCCTTTGGCTGCAGACACAGTTGCTAAATCAACATACATGGATGACACAATGGATTCGGTAGAAACCGAGGAAAAAGCTATAGAGCTTTATGATCAGGTGAATGAACTGTGGACTACAGCTGGAATGCACGCCAGGAAGTGGGTCTCCAATTCATTGAAGGTCCTTGAATGTATTCCAGTTGCAGAAAGACTATCTGAAATTAATATTCAGATGACTGAACTGCCATCAGTGAAAGCTCTTGGGTTGCTCTGGAATGCAGAGAGTGATAGGTTTCAATTCTGCTACAACATCCAAAATGATCACTTTAAAATGTCAAAAAGAGCTTTCTTGAGGGAGATTGCTAAGATATTTGATCCTTTGGGACTGTTAGCTCCATTCACCATTCGGGCAAAGATAATATTGCAACACATTTGGGTGTCTGGTGTAGGTTGGGATGACAGTCTGCATCCTGATTTAGAGGAAAAGTTCTTGCAATGATATAGGGAATTGGCAGATTTGAAGTCTTTATATTGTAGCGGCCCGGACCCGAACTTCTGATAAACCTCGAAGTCTGGATGTAACTGAGAGTCAAAACACTTCTTTCCAATGAATAATTAGTTTTTATTCATGTGGGTATAACAATGCCTTATATGGACAACACAATGCTTCCAAATAAGTAGATCCCTCTGAGCTTTAAGGTTTATTTGTAAGGACCAGTGTCAGGGCAAAATAATTATTGCCTGTAACTATAATGGTAGTTTACTGCTATTAATATATATATATGGATGACTTTACAGTTACTCAGATAGCAATTTGTGTCTGTGTTCAAAAATGCAGTCTATTTATAGAAATGATTACATAAGGACAAGGGGAACTATCTGCCCTTTGATTGAAACTGACCTTTAGACTGCCAAAGTCAGAATGACCCAGAATGGATCTCATCGTATTTATAGGTGTGAGAAAATGGTCACATGTCTGTTATTGACCAATCAAATTACGAGAAATTACGTCTCTTTACGTCCTTATTCCTTTGAGGGATCTACTTTCACAATGTAAAATCACTGAAATAAAGAGGAAGGCAAACCATCTCAGGAGGTAATTTGGTATAAAAATGAGTATTTATACCAATCAATGAATTCTGTCTAATTGATTCACTAATTGCCTTCCAATATCACAAGATAAACAATTACGTCCTGCTACGTCGAAGCTACGTCCTTGCTGCCTGCCGAGAGGACGTAATAACAACAAGCAACATCGACTGGGAATTACGATGGACAATTCAAAGAGGAAGATTACAAATGTCAGGAGGCAATTGGAATTTATCTGATGCATAAGACGTTTAATAACACAAATTGGCCACTGGTATGCTTTGACAGAAGCACTGGATGTCATATTTATGAGAAACATGTTCATAAATAGTGACGCTAAATACTGCGCATGAATACATCAGCGAAGATTACATAGTTCCTGATGTCAGAATTAACAGTAACTTTAATACACGTCTTGACATATCATCAAATACGATTCTGGGTTCCTCTGGACATAGTTCATTAGATTAAATAAACTTTATAATGCAAATGCTAAGCATTAGCCAAATTCAGTAACTTCATCGCGACCTAGGCTAGCTGTCACAAAGTTAAAATGGCGGGCGTCGGCGAAACACGTAGCTCAGCCCTGATCACAAATTCACACAAATATGGATAAATATCAAGCTGCCAAGTGATTGTGATCTGTTTGTTGAAGAACAAAGGTATGATTAAACTGTATCTGATGGTTAATTTGCGTAACTGTGTGCTTAGAACGATGAATTCTTCAAAAGTTACGGTCAATGCAAAACTCTTGAAACAAGTAAACAAGATCGTTTTGACAGGCACGTTGTTGACATCGATGCTTATGAGGTACTGGCACATCCTAAACAATATGCGTAACATGATGGCATGGACATATGATTATTTTTACGAGATAACGGTGTGCGATGAAGCTCTATAAAAGCATGCTATGATCCTCTGATAGATTTCTTACCAAAACGGGATTCAAAACATTGAATTACGTGAAAACGAGGTTGGCAAAAGTATACTGATATATACCTGCAAAACTAATTACAGTTTACAGGATAATTATGATATAATTCGTGCACTGTCATATAACCATCAAAAATACAACAGGGAAATATTTAGGAAATATTTCTAATTTTTACAAGCTGTCATAACTTACATATTTTATAATAAAGACACATTAATATTTATATATTCTTCGTGATGGCCATCACATCATTTCCCAAGATGGATTGAATTTAGAACTGAAATAGCCAATCCAAGCCTACATGTGTTTGTAGATGCATCACAAGATGCTTTTGGTGCAGTCATTTATCTGGTGAGTGTTAATGAACACAGGACAGCGAGTCAACTTGTAGCTGCAAAAAGTCATGTTGCTCCACTGAAGTCTATCAGTGTCCCACGACTAGAGTTAATGGCAGCGGTTCTTGGGGTGAAACTTCTGCTTGCTATTGCAAAAGGCCTAGAATTGTCACCTGATGATGCTAGGATCTGGTCTGATAGCATGAACGTGTTGTGGTGGATAAAAAGCCACAGTAGAAGCTTTAAGCCATTTGTGGCCAATCGGGTTGGTTTTATACAAGAAGTGACAAAACCCAGCCAATGGATGCATGTGCCAACTAAGTTGAATACAGCTGACATACTTACAAAAGGTTGTAAACCTGAAACACTTGGTACAAAAGCATGGCTACAAGGTCCTGAGTTTTTAAAACTTGATGTAAGCCAATGGCCAAAACAGATACATGCTTTCCAGAAAGTTGAGCTGGAAAGGAAAACTGGATCAAATATGAAAGTGACAATGATGGTGCAAGATGTTGATCAGACATGGCGTTTGGATCCATGTAGGTTTTCCGACTGGAAAAGACTGTGCAGAGTCTTTGCATGGGTCTACAGGTTTCTCAGTAACTGTCGGACAAAAAAGGATATGAGAAGGAAAGAAGAACTGGACCTAGAAGAGATTGAAGGAGCTGAAAGAAAACTAATTTCAGAAGATCAAAAGGAAGCATTTCCTAAAGAGTATTGGGCACTGTACCATGACAGCAGAATACCACCTAAGAGTAAACTCATAGGATTACAGCCTTTTCTGGATGAAACAGGGGTGATGAGATTAAATGGCAGACTGAGGTTTGCAGAAGTCCTGTCCTGGGAAGCAAGGTTTCCTATTATTCTTCCCAGAAAAAGCCCGGTGACAAAGTTGATAGTTAAACATCATCATGAAATGTGTCACCACATGGGAACAAATACCACATTAGCTTCATTGTCTTCCAAGTTCTGGATAATATCCTCAAGGGAGGAAATTCGTGAATGGGAAAATGCATGTTCTTGGTGCAAAAAACAAAAAGCAAAGCCAGCACAACAACTCATGGGCAATCTTCCAAAGGTGAGAGTAGTTTGTTCAATGAGAGCATTTGTTCAAGCGGGGGTAGATTACGCTGGTCCATTTCTTACTGTACAGGGTCGAGGTAAAAGCCGTCAAAAGCGTTACCTGTGTCTGTTCACATGCCTAGCTACACGTGCTGTACATTTAGAGATCGCTTTCGGACTAGACACAAATTCGTTCTTGAATGCTCTCTTCCGCATGGCACACAGAAGGGGAATGCCCAAAGAGATCATATCGGACATCGGGACGAATTTCGTTGGAGCTGTGAAAGAGCTTAAAGAGCTGGTGACTTCATTAGATTCTGACATCACAAAATCGAAATTGGCAAACAGAGGCATTGTATGGAGATTTAATCCTCCAAATGCTCCTCACTTCGGAGGAGTATTCGAATCGATGGTCAAGTCAGCTAAACGGGCTATTTATGCTGTCCTGAGCTCAAGTGATGTCACCGATGAAGAACTGATGACTGCTTTTACTGGGGCCGAAGCTCTGTTGAATTCAAGACCACTCACATATCAGAGTGCCCACACACAGGAGTATGTTCCGCTCACACCAAACCACTTTCTACATGGGCAGCTTGGTGGAGACTTCGCTCCAGAAATAGATTCCACTTCCTTTTCTCCCCAGAAGCGTTGGCGGAGGATCCAGGAACTCATCAGGCATATCTGGAGGAGATGGATGAGAGAGTGGCTTCCAACGTTGAATGTCCGAAAAAAGTGGGTCACGTCATCAAGAGACTTCCAAGTTGATGATGTGGTGATTGTCGTATCACAAGATAATCCAAGAGGAACTTGGCCAATGGGAAGGATATTGAAAACTTACCCAGGCCAAGATGGCCATGTTAGAGTTGTAGATGTTAAAGTTGGAGGGTCGAGATTGACTCAACCAGTTACAAAGATCTGTCCTCTCGAATATCGAGACTGA